ACCCGACACATGCGGACACACGCCAGGTATGAGCTGCCCGACAGCAGCTCCAGCTTCGAGGACATCACCGACTCGACCCACTCATCCACACAACGATCCCATGTAGTGACCAAAGAGGAGACGCTCAACAAAAAGATTTGGCGTCCGATTTGAGTTCAATTGCCGCTATAATTCTCGTAAATTATATTTTAAATTAATTAAAAAATTATTTATTTTTTATTTATCAGTAATTTATAGCAAAAAAAATTAATGTATAAATGCGATACAAAACGCGAAAAATATTTTTATTTACAAATATATATATAATTATTTTATTTTTGTGGAAATTCTCTGACATTTCGAGATAGAGAGAGAGAGCGAGAGGCTGTATATAAAGTGATCCCAAAAAACAGTGCCATTAAGTATGAAAAAATATTTTAGAAACAAATGAATGAATGATTATTATATAAAAAATGAGATGTATTTTTGCGACAGAGAACAGTTAAAAGTCAATGTTGTAATTGAATGGATGTATGTATCTATCAGTTTCAGGTGAATTCAGTGCCACAGCTTTGCTGTACATAAATATTATTATATAAATATCTATAATATTTATTGATATGATTATGAATTATTGTTACACACGGAGTGAAAAAATATAGTGATTCATATGAATTGGTGGCTGTTATTCATATTTATTATACAAATATTTTTTTTCCAAACACCTATTGTTCGCTCATTTATATATACTCTGACAATACATGTTATGTAATATTCTTATGGTTAGAGCGATTGAAAAACACATTTCCCTTTCAATGTTATATTTATTGTATATATTTATATGAAATATATGTATATTTTAAATGCCATTTAAATACCTTGCGATCTTTAATTATATGATTATATGATTGATATATAAATGTTTGAGAAATTTCTATTCTTACAGTTAAGGAATTTGTCTCATAAGATAATTATATATAAAATATATATTATATATTTGTTGTATATTTGATGAAAATATTGATAAATATTTGCTCAAAAGACACTTATATTTATTTAATTAAATGTATAATTAAATGATCTCCAAATACATGTAAATAATGTAACTTTTACTCAAAGACCAAAAACCTTTCAAAATAAATAACAATTATAGTTATTATTCGTACAAAAAAAAGTTTTGCAATGTTTTCTCAACATATATTTGTATTGATGTGTTTGTGTGTGTCTGCAATGTTTATCTGGTACTTGCATTTTAGGTATGCCATCAGGTGTTGGTGCTGTTGTGAGAGCACCGACAGCTCCCACAGCGTCACATACAGACCAAACTTATAATAACTTTATCGGATTTGTTGCATATATTTTAGCGCAAAATATGAGAATTTTTTAATTATTTTCCTATGAAATGATGCTTTTGTTGAGTTTTGAGGGCATTTATTACTGCAAGGACTCAGGTATTGAATTATTAAATTCTGGGCTCAGATTGTGGAGAGAGAGAGAGAGAGAGAGAGAGAGAGAGATCTCACAGACGATCAGGTGGTGGTTCAGGTGCACCAGAATTGGTGGATGTGATCAGTGAAGCCAATCAAAAGCTAATCTAAATGCTTGTGGAAAGATATGAGACCCGGAGAGCCCACTCATGACTCTCATGACTCTCACTCCCGGGTCCTCTTCACGGCTATACGGAATGGTATGGTATGGAAAGGTATGGTGAGGAATGGTAAGGTATGGGAGGCATGTATGGCATGATTACATACATTGTATGATTGGTAACAAATTCACTGCTTCTGTAATTTTTTGTTATTCGTTTGGAAGAAAGACTTTACGAAAAGTCGTGAAAATATTCTTCTCGTCTCCGCAATAATGCATTTGCGATACCATTGAAACGAAAACTATCTTTTCCTCCTTCGAGACCATAGAGAGTGCATTAGAGAGAGAGAGAGAGAGAGAGAGAGAGAGAGAGAGAGCACATAAGGAATGCCTTTATCTCTCCCCCACTGCTGTAAATATCTGCGCTCAGCCTCTGACCTGCTTCTGGAGCACACGTAAGGTTGAAAAGTTATCAGAGGGTGTGGGCCTACACATGAAAACAGGAGGTACTGATCACGATTCGGTAGCTGACATCGGCTTGTAATTGGAAATCGTATAATTTAACAGTGGCTCCAGGCGCTGCACCTCCATTGCATTGCACTGGGACTCAGCCCTGAGACCCGACCAAAAGCTATCTCTTACTCAACCGCTATATACATGCCATCAAAGAGTCCATCAGTCGATGCAAAAACGAAACATTCAAATCAATAATGATTTTATGTTTTTTAATTAAATTTAATGCAATCATAATGAAAATGAATTTATGTCTCAAATTTGTTAACAAATTTTTATCGTTTATCCGACAATTCGTTGCGATTCTTAGCATAAAAATCAGAAAATCTTTTCTTTTTTATGATATGAGAGGAAACGACAGAAGAAGAGACGACGGCTTGTGTGTTGAGAATAAAAGTATAGCTTTGGGTCGAACAGCACCTGTAGTACAGTGTAGACAGCATTTTAATATCCACCCAATGGTCCGCCCGTCTAATGATTACATTGAGATTATAGTCTATAAACTAAATGAACAAAACTTTTTTGCACTCAATTTCCTCTCCATATATACATTCAATTTGTTTCACAGAATATTGGCAAAAGTTATTTGAAATTTGGCGCCAAATTACGGGCGAAATATTTGGAGAGCCCGGATCAAAGTTAATAAATTGCTATATCCAGGGATCATTTTCTCTTGAGTGAACAATACTAGAAATGATCGATTTTGTTGTATTAGTTTAGATGCTATTAAAGCCATTTCACGCATTATTGGCGTACGGTTTGCTGGGAGTCGTGAATAAGTCGTGACTCATATAAGATATCGTTAATCGTTAATATCGTGACAAATACAATCTCATGGGAAGGTATAGCATGGCATAGAAAGGTATGGGATACAAGTGGTGTGGGATATAAGAGGTATGGGATATAAGAAGTATGAGATATTCAACCAGTTATGCGATTAATAAAATATAACTCACGACACACTATATGCCACTCATAAGACTCGCACATAAGTCAGGCCTACAGTGAAGCCGTGAATTCACAATAATTTTCAAACCTCTGGCCTTATATCTGAAGACAAGTTCAGACGTCTTGCTGTTAGAGTTTCATTCATTTGGAAATAAATTATTTAATAGAAAGTAGTTTTTCTGTCGGCATTTCGTCTAAAAGTGATGCATCGCTTGTATTGCAATTGCATTTGAATGGAGAGCACACAACACACCAGTCCTCACCAGTCCTGACACTCAGCTAACAGACCAGAGCTAACACAGAGCCAAGAGTTAGCTCACAAAACATAGTTATATTGGCATTAATCACTTGCACCACAAAGACTGCATGCAATTGCAAATGAGGTCTTAGGATGAGTACCACTACTGCAGAGGAGTGACTCAATGCGTGGACCCAAGAGTTGTGAGTTAGTGGACACGAGCTTTTATTAGCCTTTCAATGACATGGCTGGAGATCACTGGCCATACACCACAGGAAGAGACCTTTTAACTCATTGAATAACTCATTGTCCATCCATTACTATATATAGCCCCTGTCCACACACCTGTCCCGCCCCGACTCCGTCCACATTATGCAACGGAAAGATATCTATGCATACGATTGAATACATTGAATAGTATATGAGTAGCCGGAATGGGACGGGACTCTGAGCTAAAGATATACCACACTGTCCTCAATGGACACTAATGTCTTCCATTGAATGGACACAAAGATTGTGAAGTATTGATGTTATGACACAAACATTAACTCAAACAATAAGGAAGAATGCATTCAATAGAAATAACTACTGAAAAAAGTTTTTTAGTCTATTTTACTAAAATGTTTTATTTATTTCGCTTTTATTATCAAATCTTTTCATAATATAATATATAATATATTTCTCGACAAATGATTTCTTAAAAATACAAAACGAGAATGAATTCTAAATATACTTTACTTTGACAAAACTTTTAAAAGAAACTTTTATTCATTATTATTATTATTACTGAAAATCACTTCAAATATACGGTAATAAATATTAGTAAATAATAATAAAATTGATTTTATGATATAAAAATCAAAAATAATTAAAAGTTTATAATAGTATTTCTTAAAAAGTGTTTAAAAACTGAAAGACAATTAATTAATCCAAAAAATATCTACATATTGATAGCAAAATCATTATTGTGTTTATAATGTGTTGTTTAGATCTCTCAGAATTTGGTGTCCTCTTCATGGAAGGCATCGTTTGAAATGCCATTCCTTTCAGTCGAGGCATTCAGTTCTTTATCGGCGTTTCCGTTCAAATACGGCTTCTTCTCTTCATTTGCGTCAAATGTGATGTTGTTTTCAGTGCCGCCGGTGAAGGGCTGGTATGGGACGTAGAAATACGCCATAATCGCAAAGACAATCATATCGGCGACCATTAAACCACCGAAAAAGAAGAACTCATAGGACTGGGAGAGAGAAAGAGAGGCAGAGATAAAAAAGGACACGAAATTCAGAAGTTATGACATTTTTATATTTACTTCTCATTTAACGTTAAATTATTTCTTTTTTGTGTTAAGTCTTAAAAGTTAAGAATCAAACGGAGAAGAGAGAGAAAAAGTCAGGTGAGAGAGAGAGAGAGAGAGAGAGAAATAATTTTAAGTCAGTTTAAGGCTTAAAATAAAATAAAAAGTCGATAATTAAGGCTCAGATATTAGCCTTCAGAGCATTTCTCTCTCTTTATAGAAATCAAAGGCATTTTCTTGAGATGTAATCTGAAATGATTTTGAAGTTAGTATTAGGAGTAGTAGTAGTAATAGTGAGTTAGTCAGAGAGCCATTAAAACTATTTTATGATAGCATGAGAAAGTCCTGCGGGCAGACTGGCAGAGGTGGATGTGATGGGGGCAGACCGGCCAGTGCTCTCACACATACACATCCACCACCACTCAGAGCACCACCACTCAGAGCACAGGCCATGCAATGAGCCTTTTATCTTAAAAGTCAGTCAAAGCCCAGAAAACATGTTGGGATCTCTCGGGTCCCGACACCGAGTAGTCTAATGTTTGAGTTGATTATGCATACAGTAGTAGTGGGCTCGGCGTCAATTGCAGGACTACCTTATTCTCTGGCTTTTCATTACCAGCCCATCCATTGATAGAATAAAGTGTATTATAAATAATAAAAATAATTAATGCCTTTTGCTTCGCCTCTTATTATTCAAAATTAAGATTAAAGTCTAAGACATGGAAAACAAAAAATATTTTTTGATTACATGTAATCATATATTCTCTCTCCATCTCACAGAATGTGTTCACAAAAACTATCGGTTATTACATGTATAGCTATGTATTTCTATTGCAAATCACAGTATTCTTGAATACATAGGAAGTTAATTGTGGAGTACTTTTGAGAAATGCGAAAATGAGTGTAAAATTCTGTACAAAACTAAATGTTTGCCAATCAATTGTTAAAGTGTTGGCGCAATGGGTATATACTTATAGTCATTTAGTTGCGATGCGGCACTGGTTTTGGTGGACGGGTAGTGAGACAGTGATTGTGTGGTTCGGCTGATATCAAAAGGCATGGCATCGAATGCATCGAAACATATCAAACATATTTGGCTGCAGAAAATGCTGGAGAAGTATAAGTAGCGCCGATACACACAAATCATGTTTTTGGAGAGCACAGGTATGAGAGAGAGAGGGAGGGAGGGAGAGAGAGAGAGAGAGAGAGAGAGAGAGAGAGAGAGAGACTGGAGATGCCATAAGAGTTATTATGGAAGCCCTCCTCCACCTGTCAGAGTGAGTGCAGACTTTTTATGTTTGAGTTTTGGCTATTTTGTTGTTTAGCTGAGGGCTGTGTTTGAGAGAAATGTAATTAACCTCCGCTATAGCCGTGAGGGTGTAATCACATTCATTTTGCTTCTTCAGCAGAGGCTTTTGCTTTAAAAACTTGTTTAGCGCACAGGCATTACGATCTTAGCACAGGTATTGGAGGTATTGTGGGCGGGAATACATGGCCAGAGGAGAAGCGAGCACTCCTTTAAGTGAATTGTGTGCTTCTCTATCAGTGAACACCACTCTCTAACAGCACTACAGAACAAAAAGACCTAAATTATCATTAGTAGCGAATATGTTAACTCAGCGTTCACTCTATTTGCCAGAGAATGCCTGTGCATCTCACCACTAGACTACCTGTGCTAGCACTAGACTACCTCTGCTGGCACTGGCACTGCCTGCGCCCCTCATCGCCAGACCATCGCCGCTATCCCAATGCTATGCACACCTACACAACCGTACGCTATATATACTGATCCAAAATAATTGGTACCGATTTTACAAATGCAAATCAAATCTTAATAGCACTTTGAATAGTCTTTGACGGCACCAAACATTTAACTGTAAGCAACCAAATGTTTATTTATTGTCTTTTTGCACTGACAAGTGGTGGGGAACGAGAATTCCTCGTAAGACACTGTCGGGCCCGGCATTTGGGAGTACAACGAGATATTGTGATGCAAAATAATATATTTATGCTAAACAGTGCATACATTTCACGCAAAAAACTGTTGTTTTTTCGCATTTTTATCAATGGATTTTCTATACATAAAAACAATGACTGCGATAAGTCATCCATAAATTTGAATAAACTTAACGATTTTCGTTTTGAAATGCTCAAGAATGTTTTTGGCGAAAAAGTTTATTCAAACATTTATATACGATAACAATCAGTTGACACTATCGTTAAGTGAGTGGTGAGTGAACTCCTAATTAATAGCATTTATTCGCCGCTTAAACAACGTGGAGATCACTTATAAATATAATTCCCCCGCAAATAAATTTCTCTCTCAAAAAAATAAGTTTTTATCTTTTGATTTGTCGAATAAATGGTTAATAGAAATGGGAATTTTTGAGAGAAATATATATTTTATATTGTATTTAATGATAAAAAGTGATAAGAAATCTGTGAGAAATAGACCTAAACGAGAGAGAGAGAGAGAGTTTTGTCGAATAAATGGTTAATAGAAATGGGAATTTTTGAGAGAAATATATATTTTATATTGTATTTAATGATAAAAAGTGATAAGAAATCTGTGAGAAATAGACCTAAACGAGAGAGAGAGAGAGAGAGAGAGAGAGAGAGTCGGAGCCCACGGGTCTCCCACTGTATAAACATCTATCCTATAAATGTCAGACAGTTTTCTGTGGAAACAAAATTAAATAATATCTACTAATAGAAAGTATACCCCCCATCGGCCGGGCAGTTAGTCTTTAAGCTATTAAATCAAGTTCTTTGTACACGAATTCTTGTGCTTCTCATAGCTTTTTGTTTTTATGTTTCGCTTATTTTTCTTAAGATTTTTTTGTTTAATTTACATAAAATTATTACAACAAAAGGTAACTAATTAATTGAATCTTTGAAATATTAATATAGAGATTGTAGATAAGTGTTGAGAAGTATATTTGTTTAAAGTTTAAAACTTTAGACACTTGATTGACACGAGGACTGACCTGATACTCAAATATCTTGGCCGATGAGATGATGACGATAATCAAGTTGCCAAACGCCACGGTCAACAGCCAGGCCGCCTGTAGTACAGACTTCATACTTGCCGGTGCCTATTACATAATATGACATTTTATTTGAAACTATGTTACGGTACAAATAATTATATTGAAAATCACTAAAAGGTTTGCTATATTTGAACATACTGCAAGATTAATATCTCTAATTAATGTGAAATAAATGTGATTTTCAAAGCTCTTGATAAGAAAATTATTAACTTATATTCATTAGTTTTAAATGTAATTAATCAAATGAAAAATTAATGGTAATATAAAACTAATTTAAACTAAATTCAATAACCAGAATATAAAATTCATGTACAGTTTGAATGAGTCTATCTGTGCCCTCCAGCGGACTGTTATGGTATTAAAACTGTAAGGCTATGGCATAACAGTGCATAGAAACTATACAAACTGTAAGACTCATTGAATTTCATATAGTTACTTGGTGTGTTAATATTTGATAAAACTTATTAGTCATAATTAAATTATATTAATATTGCAGTTATATAACATTAATTTATATTAGGGTTAAATTCCTTAATTATTTTGATTAAATAAATGTATTGCACGGGGAGTACAGCAATGAATTGTAAAAAACTTTTACAACTTTAAGTCATTAGTGAGATTAAGTGATAAAACAATGAAATATAGCAAACCTGAGAGTACGAGAACTCCAAACCGGTGATGGAGAACATGATCTCTCCGGCGGTGATCACCAGATACTGAATGATCTGCCAGAACATGGACACCGAATTAGGTGTCACCAGATTATGCACGTTTGCATCAAATTTTCCCTAAAATTAAATTCAATTAAAAAATAAAACTATCAAAATATTGCAAGCAACACATACATTATCGTAGTGGGCGACTATTATATAGGAACCACCCTGTTTCAGATCCAGATCCTTTTTGATGGTGTCTGGCTTAACCTGGCTATCATTAGGACTTTTAAGAAATTCCAACGTATATTCTCCGCCCAAATGAATGTCCAGTTCATTGTATGGCACGAAACCGATGTACTGCTGTTCGCCGGTGTCATTGATATGTTTGGGCTTAAAATCTTTAGTGAACTCACTGTTTGTGAACCGGAACTCCACATTCGCACCTTTATCAGGAATGTCTGTAATTCCCTTAAAATTGAATACAACTGCAGTTAACGCTCCGCCGTCGGCCGGTTTGTCCATTATATCGAATTTGCCGTCAAAATTGTATGTCTGTAGTACCTTGTCTTCACCACAAATGTCTTCAGTAATGTACAGTACTCCTCCTTTTTCAACGCTTGAGTCCAATCTGATCTTGGTCGGTGGTTCAGTACTCGAACAGAGGCCTACTGTTGTGGTGAATGCGATATCAAGATAGAGAAGCTCTTGGGGCAAATCCTTTGAGTTGACGTTCTGTTTGACTAAAATATTGTATTTGCCAATAGTTTTCGTGGATTCAGCCGGGAATAAGACGGGGTTTGTCAGCGTAATCTCAGTGTCGAGTCCGTTGGCAATAGTTAAGTGAAATTCATTGGCGTTAAGAATGGGCGGCAGTTCTGACTCAATGGTCAACTGGAAAAAGCCGCAGATAGTGAAGGCCACGGCAGCCAACACTCCGCCGCAAACGATTCGCTGCAGAGGTTTCTTCAGGAAATTAAATTTGGCGAATAGAGGGTACACTCCGTACTCGAACACCGGGATAAACAGGATGATGAGTATGGGGTTCACCACTTGGATCTGATCCGGTTTTAGACGATAGCCTCCAATAGCGCCGTCCATTTTGGTGGCCTGCAGTGTCCATCGAGAACCCTAACCATACAATGAGGTCATGAGTTAATAAACTTTAATTTTCAATTGGGAATTGTGTGGTCAGACCTGTTGGTCAAAGAGGGCCCAGAAGATAGGAAGTGGTAGATATAAAAACAGTACTCTCATCACAGCCTTAATGTCGGCTATGGTTGTCGCCTAAAGTGAGGAAAATAATAATAATAATCAATAATTTATTTTTAAAAATGATACAATAATTACATCAAACTTGTCGTCCGCGTAGTCCAACCAGTGATCTCTTTTAGGCATTCTTTTGAACCATTTTCTCGAAAGTGATGTCTATTTAAAAAAATACAATTTATTAGTTAAAATGGATTCTCACCATAAATACAGTGATTAAGAGTGAGACATACGAAGACACAGGAGACCACTTGGACGACGACACTGTCCTTCTTGGGCGGAATCATCACATAATTGGTGAGAAACCGGCCCAAAACGAAGAGCGCGAGCGCCACACACATGAGGACAGCCGGCACTCCGAAAGCCAACGGATAACACGACGTTTGGTCGAAACACTGGACGTCCTCTCGAAGGATAGGCGTTATAAAAGTGGACAAAAGACTGCCGGCGTTTATGGAGATGTAGAACAACGAGAAGAACTTCTGCAACTGCTTCTCCATCCCGGGCCCAAACTGGTCGCCACCAAACGCCGACACACTTTACGCCAATAATTAATATAATTGTATTTCAATAAAACTACAGTATATTTAGAGTTTTAAATGGTTGTCCTACCAGGGTTTTATTCCACCGGTGCCCAGTGCTATGCATACTAAGCCAATCCATGTGATCCATCTGTTTGTGTCGAAAAAATTGTTTTAATTAATTTGCGATCAATTAATTTAAAAGACATACCTTTCCTCTTCGAATGAGGCATACGATAGCACTATATTTCCGATGGCATACAGTATTGATATGTAAAATATAGTTCTGTAATATTATATGCAATAATTAGTTTCTTGATTTAATAATTTGTGTGTCAAGTAGTAACACTGGTGCTTTTATTGAAATATATTACCTAAATTTTCCGAGCAATGAGTCAGCAATGATAGCACCGATAACTGGCGTGAAATAACAGGCCATCGCGAAGATGTGGTAGTACTCAGTGGCCTCGTCGTCATTATATCGCAGGATTTGCGTGAAAAATATGACCAGAATTGCTATTTATAAACAAGTAAATCTTTATTCTATTTTCAATAACGTGTTTATCATTTGAATTTTTACATTAATTAAATGCAAATTTATTTTTACTTTTTTTTAATAATATAAGATTAATACTTTTTGTGTGTTATTAAAGTGATAGTAATATTAAGTGAAATGATTATCAATTTTTGTGATGTATTTTTGATTATTACTGTATTTGCTCTCAATTCCGATGATGAAAATACAGATTTTCATTTCAAAATACAGATCAATTAACAAACTAATTAGCACTTTGTCACCAATTTTGACAAAAATTTCCTCTTTTTTACTGTACAGCCATATAACAGTAGTAATAATAAAATTAAAATAAAAACTCATTTGTCATTATCTCTATTAATGTCTCACTTTTTTTTATTCCTATATATTTATTGTCATATATTTTTCTGTACCATATATTCATTTAATTTGTGTCAAATTTAATGTTTAATATAAATAATGCATAACAATAATGTTTTAAAGTGATTGAAAAAGATTTTATTTAATGATATTATGCTTAACATTGATTTCTCGATATAATATTGAGTACAAAGAAAAAAACTAAGAGAGAAAACAAATAAATAAAAAAGCATTTATTGTTATCTCTGTAAAAAATATTCGCGAAAAGGGTTTTAAATACTTTTAATAAAGTGAACAAAATTGGAAATATGTTTTGATAATTGAATAATAAGTTAATGAACTTTTTCATTGCGAGACTCCAATACTTGATTAGACATAAAGTAAATTATGGTATAATTGAATGGAGATTATCGAGAAAAAAGACTATTAAAAAATCATTCATCAAAATAAAAAACATTTATATTTCCATTTTTAACTTATTTGTTATAAAACTAAGTTTTTCAAATATTTATTAGACAATAGATTACAAAGTTAAGGTCAAACACTAAACAAGCTGTCAGTGCTAATAGACTGTAGTGGTGGTGAACCAGTAGGTTATGGCTTATTTCAAATGCATTATTATGGCAATAATATATTTATTTAGTTTGTAATAAAAGTTAATAATCTATTAAAGGATTGATACCATTATATGGGACTTAGTTTTACATTTTATGACCTCAATTGAAGATAGGGATAGCACTGGTAGTTATGGCCCCGAGTGAGACATAGCCTTGAAATTTGCAATTTTTATACAAAAATACACTCGGTACAACAGAAATAGTGGTAATCATAATAATTAACAGATATTCACTGCAATACCAGTTCTCTCTGAAGTAAATCGAGACAAATATGATTAATGACTAGAATTTGGAAAATTAATTAAAATTCTTATGCTTTTTATGCCGAAGAAGTGCTTTTGCATTGCTATTGAAGACATTATTTTCTATATATCATTACAATTGGTCCCAACATTAATGCAATGAAATGGTTCATAAGATTTTGCAATTTATGACATAAGGGTATATGCAATGCCTTATACGATATAATTCACATCTGTATTACTGTTATTAATATCAATATTATTATTATATTTTTCGATATTAAACGCAAAATTAAGATATCAGATAAAAATCTTTTCTTTATTTTTAGTTTTCATATTTGGTTTATAATATTGGTGTAAATATTGTAAAGAAACTATCAAATATTTTTCTAATACTATATTTAGCAAATATTATGCTCTAATAATTGATTAGATAAATGTTTTTAATTCAATTTATAAACCATTTATTGCTATTATTTTTTTGAACCACTTTTCAAAATGGTTAGACAATATTTTTATTTATTTTCAATTTTTAAAAAACATTTGTCATTCAATTAATATACCGTAAAGATGTTCGGGATTAAAATATAAGATATTTTTAATTAAGGTAACAATTTTAATTTAATTAATGTGTAACTGTTATTAACACATTATTTATAGATAATCTACGAAACAAAGTTTATCTAATTTTAGATAATTTCGGTTTATTTACAAACATTTCTAATTTAATCAAATTTTTTTAAAACGAATATTTATTATATAAAATAAAAATTTGAAAAAATTTGTGGTAATTGAAATAAATATTACACCAAACCTCGTAATGAATATTAATTTTTATCTTTTTTATAAAGCATTATAATATATTTTTCTAAATTTGGGACAAGTTTCAAATTAATTCAAAGTATATTTACATTAAATAAAAACATCAATTTTTAAATTAAACTGTATTTTAAGCAAATGTTATGGGCTTTACAGTACATCTATAGTTAATATAATAATTGCATGAATTTATTGTTTTAATTATTAGATTATGTCGTGATTTTCATTAGAAAACACATTTGAATCTATTTATGGAAACCTAATAAACCATATTTTTTCACTTAACTTTCAAATTAATTAATTTTCAAATTTAGTTAGCAATGAATCTGATGCTATGAAATAATTTAAACTTTTGTTGTTGGTGTACTGTAAATTACATTCAGTATTCATTATTTGTAATTAAGGATATCTAAACCCGGCTCACTGAAGTGCATTTAAACCCCTAAACACATGCTCCCAATTAATGCACTTAAAGTGTACTTAAATAGTAAATTGTTTAGAATTTATGCCAATTTATAAAATAAGATTATTTTATCATTAAAGGATAAACTTTTTATACAGTCTACTAACAAGTAAGTATACAAGTATTAGAGTCAGGATTATCAACACATTCAAACTGAATTTGTAAAGTATATGAAGTTGTAAAATTTTATGTAACATTAATTATTAATCTACTTAATACAGAATAGCTTATTTGTTCAATAGTTATTTTTAGTCATAAGACTTTTGTGACAAAGTTCTGATAATAAATTATAAATATCAATATAATAACATTCCGGTTATAAGTTTGCTATTCATTGCGTTCATATATTTTTCTTAATGTTAGGTTTTATTGAAATTATTTTTGTTGATTACATAAAATCCTTTACAAATATTTGCGAAGATCTTCATAACTCTTATCAAATAATTTATCAAAAATAATAACTGTTTTCTTCGCTAAAACATTTGTTTGAAAATAATGTCTAAAAATGTAAATTAATTATATTTTATTGCCAACTGAAGGATATATTATAAAAAGCATTTTTAGCGTATTTTTGTCAATCAATCATATTTATTAAATAAATGTTTGCAAACTTTATTTAAACATGAGTTAATCAAAAAGAAAAAATAATGTCAAACCTTTAGCGCCATAATACGAGAATCGTTCACAAAATTCATTTCCGATGATGAATGCCACGGATCGGGGATACCGTCCCTTCTTCGGCACTTCCAACTGATCCTCATTGTTGTTGTCAATCGAGTCAATCGATTGCTTCTTCTCGTCCTAATCGCATAATTTTTATAAAAGTATTTTTTAAATAAATTGTTTTTCAAATTACTTACCATTGCTTGCTGTTGTGACTACTGTTCACTCCGACAGACAATGAATGGAAAGGAGATTATTATAAAAATATTTATAATATATTTTAAATAGTGATATATCTTTAATTGTCACCAAAAAGACTTTTATCAAAATGTTATTGAAATACTTGTCATATGAAAATAATTATTATATTATGACTTTACTATCACTTCACGAATTTAATTCATTTATACTTTTGTAGATTAAAAGCACACAAAGACTTGCATTGATTGCGTAAACAAAGTATTAATAAAAACACTTTATTTGTCAAAAACTCATCATAAAAAATTTGTGACAAAAATAAAATCCTTAAGAAATCATAAAATAACTCAAATAATAATAATCTTATCGTTTGCGAGACAACAAAACGATGCACTTCTCGGAACTTATGGACAATATGGGGGGTATACTTTCTATTAGTAGATATTATTTAATTTTGTTTCCACAGAAAACTGTCTGACATTTATAGGATAGATGTTTATACAGTGGGAGACCCGTGGGCTCCGACTCTCTCTCTCTCTCTCGTTTAGGTCTATTTCTCACAGATTTCTTATCACTTTTTATCATTAAATACAATATAAAATATATATTTCTCTCAAAAATTCCCATTTCTATTAACCATTTATTCGACAAA